GCATGGTGAGAGATATGTGAAACAGAGACTATCACATGATTAGTAAGAAGGCGACGCACTCCTTCCACCAAACCACCCTCAGCCGCAAGACATTCCTCATCACTATTAACCATATTAACCGCCAATAGAGAATCTGACTCAATCACAAGAGGCACCAAAGACGCATCCAACGCAAAGGATATGCCAGTCTTAAGAGCGTACAACTCAGTGGCAAGAACAGAGATCCTGCTCGGAGCACGCATTGCCAGAGCCCCTACCAGATTTCCTTGAGAGTCACGAACAATTACACCAGCTCCCCTATCTCCCGTCGCTAAATCAGCAGCCCCATCCACATTCAGCTTGAAAAAACCATCAGTAGGAGGATGCCACTTAACGTCAAGAATCGGTGAGGATAAACTTCTATGATTGACAACAAGAGAACGTGTAAACTCATCATCATAGTCCTTCGCACGTTGAACCAAAATTCCAGGAGGGGTGGGTTGGGATCCAAACAGCACCCCATTCCTTTCATTCCACAACACCCACACCGTAAATGCAAAAAGGGACTGCTTAACAGGAGGAATTAGATCCCATGCAGCATCCACCCAAAAACCAGCATCATTCAAATTGAGAAGAAGGAACTCACTAGGAAAATCTAACGCCTCCCACACCTGCATACAAACAGCACAGCCCACTAAGGCATGCAGCGTAGATTCACTCACAGCAGCACAACGAAAACAGGAGGTCTCCTGTGTAACACGACGCCGGAACAGCACCTCCTTGGAGGGGAGGAGATTGTGTGCCAAACGCCATAACAGATGAAGGATTTCTGCGGTACCTTGAGCTTCCATAAATGCTTCCAAAGTTTCAAGGAAGGAGAAGAGGCACCAGCAAGACTCCCAACCGACAGCTCCTCCAACCGCTTATACTCCAAAGCTGCCCAGTACCCACTTTTAACAGAATATCTCCCATTTTTAGCAAAATGCCAGATTCTCCGGTCCAAAGTATCACCCATTAAGGGGATAGAAAGAATTGTTTCAGCTTCCGGAAACGAGAAGTTATCAAAAATCTTATCAACATCCCACCGACCAGTCGCGGTGATAAGGGCACTTTTTTCTTCCGGCAGCTACAGATGGGCTGGGCCGCCGTAAGGAGCAAAATGGCTGAAATTTCCCCCTTGTGTCTGAGTTCAAAGATCAGACCCCAAAATGTTTCGAAAGGGTTGTAAATCCTTAGGAAACACCTTGGTTACCTTCACCAACGAAAATGACAACAACTTACAGATAAATTCTTAGCTTGGCATGAGAAGCTTGTGGCATGGAAGCTAAGCATTCATGAGTTTAGCATGAGAGAGAGAGAGTGCTGTGGTTTCCTATGAGAACCAGGGGTTTAAAGTGAGGGGAGAAGGGATTTTGAGAGGATTTGTTGAGGAAATAGAGAAAGATGAAGGAAGGTGGGTGTGTTGAGCAGTTTCTAGCAGCTCGACGAGAGCTTTGTCAAACTTTGGAACAGTCTAACAGGAGAGAAAATGGAAGGAGATGAATGAATAGGGCACGAAATTACAGAGCTTCAAGGAAGAGAGATAGTGCTTGCTCTCTGGATGTCGTTGATGCTTGTTGGGTAGAAGAGGCCCCCTTTTATAGCCGCTGGAAGCTGACATTTTCCAAGAAACCCTAATGCTTCCTATCCACTTTGGCCAAATCTCTCCCTTCCTTTCTTCTCTCCTCCCTTGACTTTTCCCATCTTGGTGAAATTTCCTCAGTCTATTTGCACAAAATCAGGGATTTTTGGAGCTCAAGGCCCTTTCCCGCAGCTGCCACAAGGGAGGATGCCCACTTTCAGCTACCTTTCTTCCTTCTTTTCTCCCTTGTTCTATGGCTAGATCTGAAAGGGAGAAAGAAATGGGTATGCACGCTGGTTTGAAAGGTGTTTTGCTCAAGCATCCTTTGGTTTTTTGGATGGCTTGTGTTGGGATTTGTCTTTGGCCATGTGCTGGAGGTTCCCAGCAGCTTACATATATGGACAGCTTTGGTTTTGTCGTTGTTTTTGTCTCCAGCCATGTGCTGGAGGCTTGTAGATATTTTCTTGGTTTGCTTGGGCTTTCTTAAGGTGATGAGTTAGCCTACTAAGGGGATGGGCCAACTTCCTAAAGTAATGGTCTATTTTTCTAAGGTAGTGGGGTAACATTCTCTCTTTTATGCTCACCCATATATTTGGGCTCAAGAAATGGACTTGAGTTTTGGGGCTCCCAAGCAGTCCAAAACTTCCACTTCTCGTATCATCAATGGGCCTCATGAATGCTCGTAACCATCCATACCACAACCCACTCAGCAAGCCCCGGGTATTCGCGTGGCTTGGGCCCACTTAAGCTTGTAGCGCGACGTGTTGCTTATTTGCTTGGCGTGGCATGCGTGCAAGCGCGTATGACGAACTTTCGCGTGCCCTAATTGGGCTTCTCCTCGGTAAGGTATTGCATTGGGCCGAGAATTTATTTGGGCCGAACCGTGGATTTTTTGGGCCTCAACAACTCCAAAGCTGCCCAGTACCCACTTTTAACAGAATATCTCGCATTTTTAGCAAAATGCCAGATTCTCTAGTCCAGAGTATCACCCATTAAGGGGATAGAAAGAATAGTTTCAGCTTCTGGAAACGAGAAGTTGTCAAAAATCTTTTCAACATCCCACCGACCATTCGCAGTGATAAGGGCACAAACTCGGGAGTTAGAAGGAAATGTGGGTACAGATTGAACTGTGAAACTTCTGTCATGAAGCACCCAAGGATCCCCGTAGATATTAACCAAACGGCCATCACCAATACGCCATCTGAGGCCCAGTCAGAGTAGGTCCCGTCCCCACAGTAAAGATTGCCAAGTAAATGACGGTAACGACCCATCCGAGGCCTCCAGAAAATCCGAGTGTGGAAAATATCGAGCCTTTAACATACGCGCAATCAGCGAACCTGGGAATTCCAACAAACGCCATCCTTGTTTACAAAGCAATGCTTGATTAAAACTTGTCAATTCTCTGAAACCAAGCCCCCCTTCAAATTTGTGTTGGCACAGTGACTTCCACTTTTTCCAGTGAATACCCTTACCGTCACTTTTAGCCCACCAAAAATGAGCGATAATGCCTTCAATCTCATGACATAGCCCCATAGGTAGCCGAAACACACTCATAGAATAAGATGGGATGGCTTGACACATTGCTTTAATGAGGATTTCTTTTCCAGCCTTGGACAGGAGCTTTCCTTGCCAACCGTTCACTTTATTCCACACACGGTCTCTAACAGTGCTAAATAATTTCTTCTTGTCCCGACCGACGATGGTAGGAAGGCCTAGATAACGCTTGTGGCACGGAACAATAGACACAGCCAGGATCTCACTAATAGCGTCTTGCAGCGCCAGAAGCCGCCTCATACACACCAAAAATACGCTTCAGCTCTAAAGCCTCACCAGGCACAACATTACAGAACAGAAGGCTGTCATCGGCAAAAAAGAGATGATTAATGGACGGAGCGGACGGGGCAATAGAAACACCCTGAACCCCTAGAATCCCTCTCTGCTTGTTGGAGTAAAGCGGAAAAAGCCTCAGCCACAATGAGGAAAAGATACGGTGATATCGGATCTCCTTGCCGTAGCCCACGAGTGGGCGTAATATGCCCAAAAGGTTGTCCCCGAATTAAAAGCGAATAAGAGACAGTAGTCACACAACCCATGATTAAAGTAATAAACCAAAGTGGAAAACCCATAGTACGCATCATCTTCTCCAGAAAAATCCATTCAACATGATCATATGCCTTGGCCATATCTAATTTCAGAATCAGTTTCTTTTTTCCAGTTTTTCCCCTTCTCTTTAGACAATGGACAGTTTCAAAAGCAGCTAGGACATTATCCAAAATCATACGGCTTGGGATAAAAGCACTCTGAATTCAGAAATAACCTATGGTAGGACCTTCTTAAGTCTGTTGGCAAGAGTTTTTGAGATAATTTTGTAGAGGACATTACATAAGCTGATAGGACGAAACTCTGAGACGCAGGTGGGAGAGCGGACCTTTGGAATCAAAGCCACAAGCGTATGGTTAAAAGTGTTGACACCACCATTAGCATTTAAAACCTGCAGACATAAGTCATCGACGTCTTGACCCACAATGTCCCAATATCGTTGATAAAAGAGAGCGGGCATACCATCTGACCCGGAGCTTTCGTCGGGCCAATAGATTATGGAAGAGATAAAAGTGCTTATTTGGGAGTGTTTATGGAAGAGATAAAAGTGCTTTCTAACAATTAAAAGTGTTTGGCAAAACGACACTTGTAGTCCCTGTGGTTTCCAACTTTTACCACTAAGGTCCCTGTGGTTTCAATTTCGTCACTTTTGCCACTGTGGTTTAAGAGTCCAAGCAATTCGAGGACACTTCTCAATTTCCGTCAGATTTCTTTTAGTTCTGTTGGTGCGTTTGGATGAGGGAAATAAACTTGGGATTTTGACAAAACTCAGAATTTCTAAATTGACATGAACCAATTCCCATGTTTGGATAAAAAAACATAGAAATTTAGAAATTCCGCGTGGGAAAAAACATGGAATTTGGAGATCGTAAATCCCAACTTTAAATTCTATCTAAAAGTCGTCATTTTTAAAATCCCAATAGAGATTGAGTTTTTAAAAAAGATAACTTTACAAATAAAGGTTAAATTCCGTGTTTTAAATCCGTCATCCAAACAAGAAACTTTACAAATTCTAGAATATTAATTTCCGTCATTTTAAATTCCGTCATTTATGAAATCCTTTGTACTTATAAATTTCCTCATCCAAACGCACTGGGCATCAGCTGTTGCCGTTAGTTATTGAATAAGTGGAGGGGCATTAAGGTAAAATCTCCTGTAATTCATAGCTTGGATAGTAGAAGTACCAGAATCGACAAGGATCGACATCGCGCCCTTGTCTGGGTTGGTTGCGTGTGGGTTGCTCTTCGATTCGCCGGAAAATTGCCGGAGAGTCCCCGCCGGCAAGGTTGCAGTTTCTTCGATGACGTTGTCGTCGATCGGGAATAGCAGCGATGATGAGTCTGGGAGGGATGACTTCGAGAACGATGAGGCTCAAAGCTCGTATAAAGGTCCTTTGGACATGATGAACGCGTTGGAGGAGGTTTTACCTATGAGGTTAGCAGCAGTTCAACTAGATTCATTTAATTTCTTATCTGCAATTTTGTTTTAGTTTTTTTTAATGATTTTGCTTTTGGGTTTTCTCTAAATCTTAGGAAAGAAAACGATTCATTACACAAAATTACAAATTTATTAATCAATCTATACATTTGTCTTGATTGGTTAAATCAAAAGGTCAAATTCATGTCGTTTTAGAGGATGTTTCCAATTTGGGTTCGTTGTAAATTGTAATTGTTTGCATAATATGAGCTGGTTTTTTTTTTTCTTGTTTGATTTGGGCGTTTTGACTGATGAAATGGATTTTTTTATGCAGGATGTTGGAGTTTCTATATAATAGCAGGTGTTCTTGCACAGAAAGTATATGAGGAAACGTTTCAGAGAGAAAAGAGAGAGAGAGAGAGTGAGAGTCTGTTAGGCAATGATTGTAATCATGCACACTCATCGTGTGATCTCATTCTCCTTTTAATATATATATATATATATATA